ATAAAACATTCTAAATAATGAAAATATAGCAAATTATTCAAATGTTTCTAGAGGAGTGGCTATGGTAAATGCAAACAAATGTCAGAATTGTCCATCTAATTCTTAAAAATTCTTTTGGTAATGAAAAACATTTATAGTAATATTCAAATGTTTCTAGAGTGAGTGGCTAATAAATGTTGTCAAATTGTCCATCTAATTTCATTCCTAGTGTTGCAATAACATTCTTTTTGGTAGGATTCCAAGAAGTTTTATAAAACATTCTAAATAATTATAGGCAAATTCAGCCATATTCAAATGTTTCTAGAGAATAAAAATGCAAACAAATGTCAGAATTGTCCATCTACTGGGTTTCATTCCTAGTGTTGCAATAACATTCTTTTGGTAGGATTTTTTGAAGAAGTCTTTATAAAACATTCTAAATAATGAAAATATATAGGCATTCAGCCATATTCAAATGTTTCTAGAGTGAGTGGCTATGGTAAATGCAAACAAATGTCAGAACTGTCCATCTACTGGGTTTCATTCCTAGTGTTGCAACATTCTTTTGGTAGGATTCGTTATTGAAGGAAGTCTTTATAAAACATTCTAAATAATGAAAATATAGGCAAATTCAATTTCAAATGTTTCTAGAGTGAGTGGCTATGGTAAAATGCAAACAAATGTCAGAATTTCTACTGGGTTTCATTCCTAGTGTTGCAATAACATTCTTTTGGTTTCGTTTTGAAGAAGTTTTATAAACATTCTAAATAATGAAAATATCATATTCTGTTTCTAGAAGAGCAGGCAAACAAATGTCAGAATTGTCCATCTACTGGGTTTCATTCCTAGTGTTGAATAACATTCTTTTGGTAGGGATTCGTTATTGAAGAAGCTTTATAAAACATTCTAAAAAATGAAAATATAGGCAAATTCAGCCATATTCAAATGTTTCTAGAGTGAGTGGCTATTAAATGCAAACAAATGTCAGAATCCATCTACTGGGTTTCATTCCTTGTTGCAATAACATTCTTTTGTAGGATTTGAAGAAGTCTTTATTTCTAAATAATGAAAATATAGGCAAATTCAGCCATATTCAAATGTTTCTCTAAGTGAGTGGCTATGGTAAATGCAAACAAATGTCAGAACTGTCCATCTACTGTTTCATTCCTAGTGTTGCAATAACATTCTTTTGTAGGATTCGTTGAAGAAGTCTTTTAAAAACAAAATAATGAAAATATAGGCAAGTTTTGTTTCTAGAGTGAGTGGCTATGGATTTTTTTCATGAAATTCAGCCATATTCAAATGTTTCTAGAGTGAGTATGGTAAATGCAAACAAATGTCAGAATTGTCCATCTACTGGGTTTCATTCCTAGTGTTTCAACAAAGAAAAGAAGTCTTTATAAACATTCTAAATAATGAAAAATAAAATTCAGCCATATTCAAATGTTTTTTAGAGTGAGCTATGGTAAATGCAAACAAATGTCAGAATTGTCCATCTACTGGGTTTCATTCCTAGTGTTGTAACAACATTTGGATCAGGATAATGAAGTCTTTATAAAACATTCTAAATAATGAAAAAATGGCTATTAAATGCAAACAAATGTCAGAATTTCTACTGGGTTTCATTCCTAGTGTTGCAATAACATTCTTTTGGTAGGATTTCAATATTGAAGAAGTCTTTTATAAAACATTCTAAATAATGAAAATATAAAAAATTTTTCTAGCCAAAATGTTTCTAGAATTGTCAAACATCTGTCAGAATTGTCCATCTACTCCTAAACAATTGGCAAAAATATAGGCAAATTCAGCCATATTCAAATGTTTCTAAAAAAAAAAAAAAAAAAAAAAAAATTGTCCATCTACTGCATTCCTAGTGTTGCATCACAAGTTATTGAAATTTAAATAATGCATGGCAAAATTCAGTTTTCAAATGTTTCTAGAAGTGGCTGTTCAAATGTTAACCATCTAAACTCAACATTTTCCATTTGATTTGAAGAAGTCCGGTTCTGAAATGAAATTGGGTGTGAAAAATATTTTTTTTTAAAATGCAAACAAATGTCAGGAATTGTCCATCTTTTTTCATTCAGGTCTTTATTTTCCAGTTACTTCAAATGTTTCTAGAGTGAGGTGGCTAAAATGAAAACAAATGTCCTTTTAAAGCTTTTTTAGACTTGTGTCAAATAATTTAAATTATTTTCATAGATATATAAAAAGAATTGACAAAGTTTTGCAGCTTCTTTTGAATTTGAACAAAGAAAATGCAAATATGACAATATATGCCACATTGAATTTAAAGGAAACACATTTAATTAATAAAATGAAATGTAAAAAAAATATTTGTCAAGGCAAAAAATTCAAAATTTTTCATCTGTGTATTTTTGTTTTGCATTTTTTGTGGTTCTGTCTATAAAAGGCAGGATGGGAAGTGTTTTGCAATTTTTTTTGTTTTATATTATAGATATAAGTTTGAATTTCAAGTATTTAGAAAAAATGAAAAAATGTAAGCAAAAATATAACAGAGTTAACTGTAGTAAAATGATTTATTAATTTCAAAATTGAATGTATTTTTTGTTTTTGATTTTATTTCATCTATAAACAGGATGTGTGTGTCATTCATGCATTTTTGTTCAATTTTGGTACTTTATGCACACCTTTAGTGGAACTTTAGGTTTGATTTTTTCAAAGCTTCTATGGCATTTTTTGGTACTATTTAGGTAGGAATAAAGTGTCAAAAAAAAAAAAAAAAAAAAACTTGGGTTTGAATGTGTTGTTATTATTGTATCTGTGGTTTAAAAAGTCTCTCCTATATATGGCCATTGCAAAAAGATTTTATCTCTTCAACTCTCCAATGAGAGAGTCCCACATATCAACAACTTTTCTCCACAAGAAGCAACTTTTTCCAATTTGTTGTCATGATTATACTGACACCATTTTTTTTTATATAAAATGAACAAATCCATCACATATATAAAATTTTATTCATATTAAACTAAATTATATATATATATATATATATATATATATATATATATATATATATATATATATATATATATATATATATATATATATATATATATATATATATATATATATATATATATATATATATATATATATATATATATATATATATATATATATATATATATATATATATATATATATATATATATATATATATATATATATATATATATATATATATATATATATATATATATATATATCATATATTATATATAAAATATACATTCCCCATATATTAATGAAATTATCTTCATATGATTGAATGGGGTGTGATACAGTGAAGTCAGTCAATCAGTGCCATGCATTATACACACTGAAGCAATCATATATATTTCGATATATGACTAACGAGGCAGATTCACCCCCATCCCCGGAGTAGGTTGCTATTTCTTTCTGTGGTAGACTAGTTGCTATCCAAGGCTATAGAACCCAGTCTGTCCTGCTATTTACCCATAACCTGGGGGGAGAAGAGGATTCATACCTTTCCCAAGGCTATTAGCACATAAGTGAATGTAATGGATTCGAGTGGAATTTGAATTCAGCTCTCCGATTCCTCAATCGGAGCCATTATCCATTACTTCACCGTGCCTCCCTATAGTGAAGTACTTTTTTAATTCAATTTAATTTATAATTTTCAGTGCAACAGTTGAAACAAAAGGGTTAGATTGTTTGACAACCTGGGGCATATGGCTAAAGTAACTTGGAGGTGCTTCAATGGCTTAGCCGATCTCCTGAACTGAGTACAACTGAAAATTCATGGCTAGGCTAGATATTAATCAGAGTGACAATGAAAACACTGAAGACTGCAAAGAAGAGGTGGGCATGATTACAAAAGAATGTGCAAAAGTTTATAAAAGAATATCTCCAAGCAGTAATAGTACACAAGGTCTATGTAGAAAATGAGACATCTTAACACTTAAATATTTTTTTTTTTTTTTTTTTTTAGATAATATACATAAATTAAAAAAGGCATATGGCCAAGTGGTTAGGACTTTCACACTCTACCCATAAGACATGGATTCAAATCCCACCATGGTATATTTGCCACGGTGGTGACTTCTTGACAATATTAACCTGGGGAAATGATCCCAGTGTGTGGCTCTTTTGGAAAAAGAGTCTGCAAACCATGCCACAGGTTAACCCAAGCCTTGTGAGTAAAACTGGGTAGACAGAACGGCTTGGAAACCATCAGTGGTTGTGGTAGCAAGAGGCCTTAAGTTGTGGTGACTGAGGCTTTGAGAGTGCTGAAAAAAAATTGAACATGCTAGATTATGTGCATACCTTCTCGGCCCTTCCTGTCTTTATTTTTTTTTTCTATAATCACCACCAACACCACACTTACTCAATCCACATTACACTGAAAGACTGGTTCCTGTACAATCAGCAAAGTTAAGCAACAGTGAGCCTGGTCAGTACCTATATGGGTGACTGACTAGAAATACCAGGTGCTGTAAGCTTAGATGTGCAAGTGGTATAATGGATAATGGCTTGGAATTGTTAATCAGAGAGTAAAGTTCCAATTCCTGTTGGGTTAGTTATATTCACTTACATTTGAATACCCTTGCGAAAGGCATGAATCCATAACTTCTTCCAGCTAGGGGTTAATTGTTAAGTATTGCATCACTAAACCATTATTATCTCAAAAAAAAAAAAAAAAAAAAAAAAAATTGCACACGAAATATTTAAATTTCAGCACAGCACTAAATAACCCATAAAGGTGTTGATATGCCACTAAACAAATACAACCAACCAGTTTACTTATAATCCTTCAGCCTATATCTTCTTAGCTTTTTTTATTTTTTTAAATTACAAGTTACAATAATTATTTATTTTATAAATTGAAAGAACATGAATTAGTTAACAAGGTGAATAGCTGTATACATATAAGACTAGTAAAATCTATATTCACTCGACTGTTAATGAAAATATAGGCAATTTCAAAACATCAAACCAACTTTGTTGACATCAGAAAACGTTTTCAAATAGCTTACCTCAATTCGCTTCTCATATTGCTCGCCCTGGATGACCCTCTGGACGAAAATGTGTGGAAGATGAATGTCTTCAGGCGCAAAGGTGCCAACATCAACAATTTCTTCAACCTCTGCGATTGTGACCTTAGCTGCCTTGCCCATGGGTGGGTTGAAGTTTCGAGCAGTTTTCCTGAAACAGACAACACATCGTTAGTTCTTATTTATTCATTTTAATCAACACTGACTTAGCTTCATCTTAGTTTTGCATATGGCAGTCCAATCAGCAAAGACAACAGCCAAATTTCCTGCATATTGATTTAAGTAATCATTATCTCTCCCTAAGGCTGATCACACACTACCAGGAGATATTTCTGTTCATATAGATTGGCTTTGAGTGAATGCTAGTGATTGCTCAAAAAGGGCAGTGCCAAAACTCTTTATTGCGAGGAATATGCAAAGGTCACCTAATGCTCTTTTGAAAACCAAACACTGGACCACTGATAGCTGAATACCAGTTTTCATTGAAAAACCTTTGCACATACCCAACACGTTCAATTCACATAAAAGTTTAAACTGTCTGAAATTTCAGTTCATCCTTTTTTTTTTTTTGCTACCTACATTTTATAGATTGCATGTTAACACTGTCTGGATACAAATGACAATTATTTATAACTCTTTGGTGGAGATAAGCCATATGGGTCACATGATGGCTACTTAGTGACAAGAGTGACCAGTCATTCAGTTTGTTTACAGTAGCCAAACCAAGCAGTTGCTTTTTTTTTTTTTAAGTCTGAGCCAAATTGCCTGGGCTGAGGCTAAATTTGCCTCCCCTTATGGCTTAAAAACACATGACACTGTTTCCCTTTGGGAATATATCTTTCCCAGATATAGAAAGAAACGCTGGTCCTCAATTTGGGAAAACCCAACACTCACTGTTCCCCTTCGTGGAATATGTCTTCACTTGGGATGTAATAGATGAATCTGGCTTGTTTGGATTTAGAGTCCTAAACATTGCTTCTCCAGAAACACAAAGAATTTCCATATCATATGTAAGACCCTTCCTTTTCATTTCTCTTTCCACTCTGCTTGCTGTTTCGTATATGTGATATATTTTTTCTGTGTGGGACACATGTATATATATATATATATATATATATATATATATATATATATATATATATATAGTTTTGTGTATGTCTTAGTGGTATAAAAATCTCTATGAGAACAAAGCATGTTTATCATTCTTTTCCCTTTCAGCCATTCCATTCCATTCGTGAAATATGGCGTTATTATATCACAGATATAATAATGCCCATAATGGGGGAAATGTAAGTGGGAGAATAAACTTTCCTGCTATAAGCTCTCTCTTGTTATAATACAAGATGGTTATCTCCAAAGAGTTTGATTAAAAGTGGCTGTAATTATTTTAATTTTTTATTCTGGATGCATGTAACATTTCAACACCTGATAGCTGTCGTCACAGATCAGTCAGGGGGCTGCTAATCTACTCACCTGATATGAAAAGCTTCTGGAGGTGGCCCTTACCAGACTGGAAATGCTTGATTTGACATTTTCATGTTAGTTTCATCAGCCTGCTCTTTTGTGCTGGCTTAAGGCAAGAGGTTGTCAGAAACCAACATTAGATTGGAATGATTTATACCCGAGCAGGTTTAAATAAACCTTTCCTTCTCCATAAACCTTTAGATCTAAAAAAGATCTTTTCATAACTTATGGAGTGGTTTCACAGTGGAGGCTTGTATTTGTACTAAGTCAGTCCTAAAATAGGTTTGACGTACAAAACGTTAGGAACTTGATATAATGGGTAATGACGCAGAGTAATCTAGTTGCGGTCGCTGATACTTTAGTATCCGACTAACGGCTGTCCGACATTGACTGACTGACCAACTCACTGCGCAACTCCTCGTTACTCTTACTACTCTTACTTATTATAGGTGGGAGAGTCTATTAACTATAGAATAGGTGTGTTCCACTATAACAATAACACTTTCTAAACCTATCTTCTTTGCAAGATCATTTTCTATTGACAAAATAGCCAAAGAATTTTATCTGTCTTGAGCCATGGACAACTGCAAGTAGATTTTTATAAGCTTTAGAACATGACATGGCAGCGTGATGATGTCCTGTTGCCAGTACCTTGAGCTGACCCCTGTGTGTAGAATGATGTGATTATTTCTTCTTTTCATAATTTTCTTGTCTCCTTTTAGTCTCTCACTATTTCTTTTCCTTCTTTTCTGTCTTTCAGCTTTGAATGTCAATGATAAATGTAACAAATTTATTTCTGGTGTCAGACAGGAATTATTTTTAAGTTAATTTTTCTTGAACATTTAGGGGCTTTCTTAATTTTTGAAAATATACATGCATCCTGTTTTTTTTATTTATTTGTGTTTAAATAATTAATTTTTTTAATTAATGCTTAAATGGCAAAAGTAGAGTAGTGTGTATATATATATATATATATATATATATATATATATATATATATATATATATTAATGTGTGTGTGTGTGTATTTAAGCAGCAAATTCTCTTTTAGGCATGTCTGATTGAATAAATTAGAAATATTATGTCTGCTTATTTCATTCCAACTCAGATTTCAATGGAAACTGAAGACTGCTATTCTCGCACCTAGGGACAACAGCAATTATGATGTGGTTCTACGCTCTTCAAGACATCCAATCTCTCAATCAAAGGACTTGTGTAGTTTATAGTCATAGTGTAGTTTATTGTCATACTCAGGACAAAGTCTTTACACAAATCCATTTAAAGGAAATGGTCACCAATTGAGGCCAAAATTTGTGGTTCCAGTGTGTTCTACTTAAGTAAATTTATTTTAAATAAAAATTCTGCTTTCCATGTTACATCTCCAGACAATACAAAACTTTATAGAATTCTAGTTTGTTGATATTTGCTTTTCAGCTTAAAGGTTTCAACACTTATCAGAATAATAGAATATACATGAAATTTGAATTTGACCAATGAACATTTATTAGAAAAACTAATGGAATAGTGGGGGGCATGCAAAAAGAGAAAAAAATGTTTAAAAGAAATGATTACCTGAAAATAAGATTGCCTGCCTTATCAGCTTTCCAGGCTTTAATGAGAGCATAGTCACCTGTAATTGCTTCTTCCATAATGTAGTTAACGCCATTGAAGAGACGATTCTGAAATCAAGTGATGATAAAATATCAAAGCAAACATTACAATTTAATATACAAGGAGGAGATAAATTCAGAGATTTATGGAGAAGATGCTGAATTTTGATGTGAAATTTTACTTAAATAACATTTGATTCATGTGATTATATTTGTCAGTGAACATTCTGCAACTTATTGATTGGTTTGCATTGTTTTGTTTTAGAGAATGCCAACTACAATGGCTTATTTAATGCTGAGAAGAGTTTTTATTGCTGGCAATATTATTTTTTTTTTTTTTTTTTTAAAAGTATTGCTGGTATTAAAACCTATTTTTATACTTTCATAGTGTTTTGACCCTTTTTGGGGTGTTGATTTAGGTGGGACCCTGACAGGTGCTACCACCCCAGGTCAGGGTGAACCTGGGAACACCAGCAATTAAGAGGTGGTTTCTCAAAACCTCCTGATCAAAGGCCATGCTGTTGAATGCAGTTTATCGTCATACTAATGGATGGACATCTTATTGATCTCACGTTTCCATAGACATGAAGTGGAATGATTATATTGAATCAACTGCTATGTCTGCCACTAGGAAATTTGGTTTACAGTGTTGTTAAACAATTTTTCTTGCCTGAATCTATCTTACACATTTATAAGTTTATCATTTGTCCATGCATCAAATATTGCTGCTACATCTTGTCTAGTGCTTTCATTTTATATCTAGAGATTCTTGGTTTGGTTAACGGCAAATCAAATCCTTATTTAATGCTGAAGTTTTATTCTCTTGTGAGCTTCAGTAATTTTTTAATTCGAAAAATGTATTATTGGTAATATTTTTTACTTTTTCCCTTACTGTTATACTGTACATATGGACTATAAAGGGTATGTCCCAATCCTTATAAATACTGTGGAATATACTGTATGTTGATGCGCCATGGGATTTCACTTGAGATTCACCTTGAGTCACTTCTAGCTCACCATTAGCAGTTTATTACTAACTACATGTCGCTGGTGAATCTTGTATTTGTTACGGTTATAAAAATTATTGCTCATTTCCAACCTTAGTTTTGGTTATTCTTATTCAGTAACCTTTTCCTAGGTTACAACACTTACTATGAAAATGTATTGCTGGTAATTTTTTCTAATACATTTTTATATTTTCATGTTTTGACTAGATAGAGATTCTTGCCAAAATCCAAAGAAGACTGACCTGGCACCTTGGCTTCAGTCACTTTCCCAATGCCATAATGTAGCTTCACTTTGCCATCTTCTGTAAATGTTATATTGTACCTTCAGACTACAATGGATATGTCCCAGTCTTCATAAATACAGCGGAATATACTGTCTCGGCTATTCACCACTAGCACTGGATTACTTATGCCACACCACTGACGAATCTTGTGGTTAATGTTATAAAGATTACCGTTCCAACCTGTGTTCTGATTATTCTCATTCAGTAACATTTCCTAAGTTAGAACAGTAAATATTTTCACTCATTATGGTAATGACTTTCCATTGTTAGTATGATGACTTCACAAATTTAAGAGCAGTACTAAATTAGTAGCTAGGTCTTGTCTAGTTTGGTTTGGTTTAAAGCATATCAACCTCAATGGGTCATTTAATGCCGACCAGATTTTTATTAGTGGCAATATCTTATTTTCAAAAATGTATTGCCACTAACAATCTTTTAGCAAAATGTATTGCCACTAACAATCTTTTAGCAAAATGTATTGCCACTAACAATCTTTTAGCAAAATGTATTGCCACTAACAATCTTTTAGCAAAATGTATTGCCACTAACAATCTTTTAGCAAAATGTATTGCCACTAACAATCTTTTAGCAAAATGTATTGCCACTAACAATCTTTTAGCAAAATGTATTGCCACTAACAATCTTTTAGCAAAATGTATTGCCACTAACAATCTTTTAGCAAAATGTATTGCCACTAACAATCTTTTAGCAAAATGTATTGCTACTAACAATCTTTTAGCAAAATGTATTGCTGGTATTAAAACCTATTTTTACACTTTTATAGTGTTTTCACTCCAGTTTGGGGGTTAACTTTTTGCCCGTAGATGTGACCCTAACAAGTGCTACCACTATGGGTCAGAGTAGACCTGAGAACACCAGCAATTAAGAGGTGGTTCCATGCTCCTCAAAACCTCCTGATCAGTGGCCTTGCTGTCAGATGTAGTTTATCACCTTACTCTGGACGCCTCATTTACATGTGGGAAGGAGTCTTACCCCTCTGGCATATTCTGAAGCCCCAGCCGTCAGGGAGCTAGGGTGTTTAAATGATTATCAATTGAGTAACATTGAAATGCTAGATTTGGAGAATTTAGTGAAAATAGAAGTTTCTTTTTTATTATAGAAAACAAGCGACGTCCAGTGCATGCCCAAAACTAGTTGCATTCTCTGGTATACGAATATCACAATGGTGACAAATTAAAAGGACACACAGCAGAAAAATAAATATTTTTGCTGTGTATTTTACTCAGCAAATATTTATTTATATGCATTGTTCATCATTAGATAGTGGATTTATCAATGTATTCTTTTGTATCAAAATAAATAGAAAAGTAAAAGACATAAAAAAATGAAGCATCTGGAATAGTTATACCATCAAGATTTTTTTCAACTTACAAAATAAGTGAGGAATTTCTGATGCCTGGAAGAAAACATTTGTACTGTGGAGAAAATTAGTTTAGAAATAACAAACTTGCCATACTAAATAAGTACCATTTTTTTTTTTTTTGAGATATGGAAGGAAATATTTTCTGCCAGTACCTTATTTGGTACACAAGAGTATGAACATGCAGAAATTTGTTAGGAATAAATGGTTATTTATGAAATGGTAGTTTTTTAAATTGGTAATAAAAGACAAGATTAAGGAAAAACCTGCTAATCAAGATATCCCTGCAGATGTTAAAATTAACTTTCTGCTGAATGTTGTGGTCACTTAGATTTAATTAACCCATTTTCATTTGTTTTGCCCCCCCCCTTTTTTGTTGTTTATAAGCAACTTGGAAGTTTGACAACTACTCGAGTTGCTTCATTTTCATGCAGGAATTAGTACAATTCTTGAATAAAATATAGAATAAAAAAATTAAGCCACACTGACATCAGTAGAGTTGCTTAAAGATTTAGTTAAATTTGAGTGGAGTTGCTAACAAATGAACTGCTTATAAAAAAACAAAGAAAACAAACATTTTGTTTAGTGATATTGAAATGCCTTACTTTTCTGTTTATTAAACCCAAGCATAAAAAATTAAGCAACCATTTTAGCAATCTGAGTATTATTTCCTGTGCAAAAATGAAGCAATCCAAATACTGGCCAAAATCTTAAGTTTCCCTGAAGTGTGGATGGACAAGTCTGGCTACAAAATTCTGGAGTCAGGATGATGAAGGTAACAGCAATCAGCTAAGTGACAAACTTTTACTTATATTAATTCTCTCTCTCAAAAATACTCTCTGAAAAACATCCCATATCCTTCTCTACACTAATTCAATCAGTCCCTCATGGATAAAATTATCAATTCTGTGAGAAAAGATTACGATGGAAAAAGTGCATTTCTATCTTAACCCTTCCGAAACACCAGATCACATATATGAAACCTACAATCTAAAAACCCAAAAAACACCACCTTCCTGTAAATTCCTGGATCCCTTTAAAAGAGACCAGTTTAAACTAATTAAAAAAAAAAAAAAAAAAAAAATGAAATTCAGAAAGCTGTCCAATCAATTCTAAGAAAAGTTAAAAGATAAAAACTATTATGAGTTCTAAAGACATTTGGGTTAAAACTGACAAATCCCAAAACATTTATAAATGTAACACCCTCACACTAACATAAAATTCTCACTAACAAAATAACACAAACTAGATAGATATAACAGGATGATCTCCAAGATCGACTATGAACTGCCAATTTCGCAAATAATTTAAATATTGCAAATAGAGATTAACAAATTTAACAAAAACTGAACCAGGTCTAATCTAAAAAAAATATAATCAAAAAATAACCGATAAAATACTAATTACAACCTGTACTAATCTCTGGAAAGATTTGTCAAACACAATCAAATGGTTTGTCAATATTGGTAATAAGGAAAGAGCTACATTTATCAAATTTGATATCATAGATTTCTATTCCTCCATCTCCAGAAATCTCTTGGTAAATTGTATTAACTTTGCAAAAAACTATGTGGAGATCACAGATGAAGAAACTAATATCATCCTAACAGCTAGGAAATCACTTCTAGCGCTTAACAATTCCACCTGGACTAAGTGCCTTAATGACAATTTTGATGTCCCTATGGGTGCATATGATTCAGCTCAGGTTCCTGATTTACTATTTATTTATATTTTAAATACCATTATCCAGCATAAACATCTTTAATAAAAATTTTAAAAATGTATGAAAATTCTCTCCAGAAAATGGTTTTAAGAATAAATTAACTAACCCCTATAAGTAACACAGAAATATCTAAAGTGAAATGTATACATAGAAAAAGAAAAACTATAGATTCAACCCTCCCCTTCTGCAGACTGTCAAATATTAACGTTGGACAATATTTTCTAAAGTTAATAAACATTAAAAAAAAAAAAAAAAAAAAAAAAAAAAATCCTCTACGCAAGATCTTCAATAGGAAAACAAGATTAGCTACTCCTGTACCAACAACATGTATAAAATTATTAGCTCACACAATAATCATATTTTAAGAAACTTCTATGGGACAAACAACCAACCTGGTATTGAACCCTCCTGTAGTTGTAGATCTAAAGAGAATTGTCCAGTAGAGGGCAAATACAAATCTACCAGGGTTAGACATTAAGCAATCATTTCCCTCAAAGAAAATATGAAAAATTATAAAGTTTACATTGGAATTCCCATGGGGGAATGGAAACAGAGATTTTATACCCATAGGCACTCATTTTCTCACCATAAACTAAAACACCAGACAGTTCTTTCAAAAGATTTTGTGAATTGAAGGAGAAAGGTTTGAGCCCACATATAGCATGGAAGATTATAAGTTCTACATGTACTCCTAATAGTCTTAAAGATAAGTGTAATTTATGGTTAGAAGAAAAAAATTAGAATAGAATAATCAAAGCCAACTATTGAATCAGAGCAATGAATTGGTGTTAAAATGTTGACATAAAAACAAATTCAAATATGGGTTTAATTTAATTAACTACCATATTTCCATAATATTCACTCCCTTCTAACACTTGAAATGTCGAATGAATAACTAATTCTAATTCCTATATTTAATTCCCCCTTCTATAACATTTTTATGCTATATTATAATTTATAAACTTTCTCCTACTTTAATATCTCCCTAACTCTTCCTGTTAATCCCTTTTATCCTTTTATCCATATAATTTATTTTTAGACCCCTTTTTTACATTCCCTACATGAGCTAATTTTGGATTTTATATATATATATATATATATATATATATATGTGTGTGTATATTTTTGCAATGTCAAGATTAACAAAATTCATGACACCCAAATTTTTATAAAAACAAACCTATATATATATATATATATATATATATATATATAGCAGTGTGTGTGTCCGTAGAAAAATTACCATTTTTACAGTAATGTATTCTCTTAAATCAGAACACTAAAGGTTTAATCAAAGAAATAAAAATAAGCTATAAATAAGTGAGTTACCTCCCTTGCTTTACTAGCTATAGAGACGCTGCCATCGCTGTTGTATTTAATGGGAGCACCCCCTTCATGAATTAAGGTACCATAGGCTGTGGGAGTATAAAAAGCAGGTATACCAGCTCCACCAGCACGGATTCGTTCAGCAAGTGTACCCTGAAATGATAAATCAGAACTTTCAATGAACATCAGGAAGTCTCCTCTGGTTAGGGATATGAATCATAATCAGTGGTTGTGTGAGAGAGACTGAATGAGACATTGTGAATGGAATGTTACCATGGATACAAACAAATATACAAGCTGATTTTATAAGAAATTAAGATATTGAAAGAAAAAAAAAAAAATTACCATAAAAGGTGAACCAATTTTTTTTTTTATCAGATGTATTTGATTCGAGTAAGACATTTTGGTACTGAGGATTTAAAAAAAATGGAGGTATGGTGGAGTAATGGATAGTGGCTTGGATTGAGGAAACCAAGTGAAAAGTTCAAATTCTACCACATTATCTTTCATGGCAGTTCACAGATAATAAAAGACAGGGTGTCATGACCACCTGAAGGGACATGATGTTTAATGTAAAAGGAAAGGGGTGAGGGGATTATAGTTTAAAGCAGTGGCCCCCAGACGTTATTGTGGAAGAGGATAGCAGCTGAAGCAGAATGAATGAAATTGAAAGGTTGAGAAACAATTTAAAGAAATTTCACATGCCAAAAATAAACATATATATATATATATATATATATATATATATATGTGCGTAAAATGGAGAGAGAGATAACACACAAAAGGGAAATATTCAGGCTTGAAAGCAACTCCTGTTCAGGTCATTCCATGTCATTTCACCAGAGTATTACATCCATAGACACTGAATTACTTAAAATTTGGCACAAATGTTTCCCTTCATGAGTTAGGAAAGTGTGCCAAATTATTTTGTGCTAGACTTTACCGTTCCAATTTTAAGGTGGGGGTATAATTTTCCTATTTTGTCTCTCAATTAAGGCTGCACAACTTCGCAGAATCTCAGTGTTTTTTAAAAATTAAAGAAAAATACTTCCTTACCTTCAATATTTCTGAAATTAGGTATGTAGGGCAAATAAGAAGTGTAGAATCCAAATATTTAACTATTTTAAGCTTACACTTGATAGAAAATTTTATTTTACTCACCCAAATACATGACCCCAAAAATCAACAACATTTCACCTATGTAGCTTACGGTCAGTCTATCAAAAATATGTCCTCTTCAATTTTCATAATATTGTTTGCCTAACATCTACAATGCCTGCTCAAGTTCAAAAAATTTTGTGAGGGTTTTAATTCTACTTTAGAAGATATGACCCTGCCAAATTAAGTTTTTTTTTTCCTATGCATGTGCAGGATTTTCGAGAAAGATTATAATTTAAGACAATCATCCTAATGCTACATGTCCTCTAAAATGTTGATATTGTGCTAAGTAAACAATTTAATAAAATTATTTTTATTAATTTAAAAAAAAATAATTTAAATATATTTTGCAGATATTACTTTTTGTACAGATAGATTGTCTTTAAAAAGTGGTAAACATTACCTTATGTATTTTTTAAATTGTTTCTAAATCTTTCATAGAAAATTTGTAAATGGCACTTAACAAATGGAGTTAAAAGAACTTCTTTTTGTTTGTGTTTCTTTTAATTTTAGTTTGGTAAATTATTTTCATGAAACAAAAAAAAAACAAAAAAAACACAAACTTGATTTTTTTCATTCTCAAAAAGTAATAAAATAAATGTGAATCTTTAAAACATTATATTTGTAGTTGGCACTTAACATATTTATATAGTTGAAGGAAATGCTTTCATTATTTTTTTAAAATATTTTTCAAAATTATTTTCATGAAGCAAAAATATTTGATTTTGTTTTAATCAGAAGAAAGTCATAATAAAAATGAATATAAAATATTCTTTAAAAGATTACATTTAAACTACACTATGCACTGTCTGATCCTGAAACACATGTCACTTACTATCCAGTATCCAAGGAGAAAGGTGGTATATTTCCAATTACTTGGATTTTTTACTTGCATACTGGATTTGAAGTACAGTAATTTGTTTTTTTTTTTTTCGGTTAAAGATGAACTGTTCTATTTATACTGAGCTAACAGCTGAAACATGTCATGGTTTATTCAATGATAAAGAGGTTGGATAGATTTCATTTGATCAGTTGGATGCAATGGATGTAAAGCTTATTGCCTATAGAACAGGACTCTTTGTATATTCATTTTTATTATGATTTTCTTCTGAATGAAACAAAATTCAAATATTTATGTTTCATGAAAATCCTTTTGAAAAATTATTTAAAAAAAATAAAAATAAAAATGTAAAAAAAGTAATGAAAGCCTTTCCTTCAACTATATAAATATGTTAAGTGCCTTTCCTTCAACTATATAAATATGTTAAGTGCCAACTACAAAAAGTCATAAGATAAATTTGAATCTTTAAAAAAGATTCAAATTTATCTTATGACTTTTTTGAGAATGAAAAAAGAAAGTCAAATGTTTTTGTTTCATGAAAATAATTTACCAAACTAAAATTAAAAGAGACAAATAGAAAGAATTTGTTAAGTGCCATTTACAAATTTTCTATACACTGTTGATTATCATTCATGAGGCAATGTTTACCACTTTTTAAAGACAATCTATCTGTACAAAAAGTAATATCTGCAAAATATATTTAAATTATTTTTTTTAAATTAATAAAAATAATTTTATTAAATTGTTTACTTAGCACAATATCAACATTTTAGAGGACATGTAGCATTAGGATGATTGTCTTAAATTATAATCTTTCTCGAACATCCTGCACATGCATAGGAAAAAAAACTCTTAATTTGGCAGGGTCGTATGTTCTAAAGTAGAAGTAAAACCCTCACAAAATTTTTTGGTGAACTTGAGCAGGCATTGTAGATGTTAGACAAAAAATATTATGAAAATTGAAGAGGACATATTTTTGATAGACTGACCGTAAGCTACATAGGTGAAATGTTGTTGATTTTGGGGTCATGTATTTGGGTGAGTAAAATAAAATTTTCTATCAAGTGTAAGCTTAAAATAGTTAAATATTTGGATTCTACACTTCTTATTTGCCCTACATACCTAATTTCAGAAATATTGAAGGTAAGGAAGTATTTTTCTTTAATTTTTAAAAAACACTGAGATTCTGCGAAGTTGTGCAGCCTTAATTGAGAGACAAAATAGGAAAATTATACCCCCACCTTAAAATTGGAACGGTAAAGTCTAGCACAAAATAATTTGGCACACTTTCCTAACTCATGAAGGGAAACATTTGTGCCAAATTTCAAGTAATTCAGTATTAGTGGGTGCAGATTTCAACCTTTTGCTGATGTTTTGACATGGAATGACCTGTTCATAATAATTTAATCATTTATAATAGGGTGCTACGAGCACCCCTTCAAAAAAAAAAACAAAATGAAAAGAATGCATGTTGATTATTCAGATTTTGAGATATGAATCAGACCAAAAAATTTACATCACCACTGTGTGTGTGTGTGTGTGTGTGTTTCATGGACAGTAGTTCAGACTGGGAAATTGGTTAGACAAGTTTTTATTCCAGTCAAGTTTATTATATTCACCTATGCACAAATACTCTTGGGAAAGGGTATGAATCCCTCTCTTCATCTCTCCCTAGCTACAGGTTAGATAATAAGCAGGCCAGTCACTTTAGCCAGCCTAAGAGTAAGATAATACTAAATTCAAAATTTGAGGGTTATTTGTGCACCAGTTCTCTGTATCTGTTACTTCCAAAAACTGTCTAGTTCTGCAGAGACCTTCACCATGATATGTATGTGGGTTGTCTGGTTGTTCAGTCCTAAGAACTGAGCTGTGGAACCCTCATAAGTCAAAGATAATGGAACAGTTTATGCACACAGATAACAGAATCAGTGCAGCATTGTTCTTGGAAAGAGATAAGGGATCATCTTAAAAATTTGTATTTATTTCCTCATGGGATTTATTTGGTCATAGAAAAAAATGATATTTAATCTTTGATCTTTATGGTCAAAATTGCCTCTTTCCAGCAAATCATGAAGAAAGTGACCCACACTTTTCTTCTGCTGGTGTTTTACTCCTGTCCTAGCCAACAAGCTCCCTATGCTAATTCCTCGGCATATGAGTGTCCAATCAAAGTGTGCCATATATCTCTAGACGACAACACGACAATCAAGAGGTGACCAGTCCACTAACAGTTTAAATAATAAAAAAAAACTTTCCTCATTTTGGCTTTCTAACATGGAAAGTAAAGATTGACCTTTTTCAATGATGGGTTGCCATTTAAAGTTAAAGAGCGCCATCTACATTGATTTATGATCAGTTATCTCTCTCCGAGGTTGACCACTGGCCAAAGTTAATGAGCCAAACCTACCTGGTGGCACAATGGTTATTGCCAGGCAAAGTGGAATCAGTATGCAGAGTTCAAATTTTGATAGGGTTTTGTTCATTTTGTACTAATGAAACTTGGAAATGGAATCTTCATCCAGTTTTTGGTTAAATAGTAGGGCAAACTGGGCTCTCTTGCCTTGGGTGGCAGCCAGTAAAAGAAAAACAGAATTCAAACCATAACAACCAATAAAAAATTAAAACAACAACAACAAACAAAAACAGTTTCACAAAAGTGTAACAAGCTCAGCTTTTATGAGGTCTATGAATGAGGGATGTTGAAAGGTTTTCAGTTGGACATACTTTCAAACATCTGACCAAATGATCAGAAATTTTTCATTTAATTTCATCTTTGTCAGGCCTGAAAGTTTCAGCAACAATCCTGCAGTTTAGATGAACCAATATAATAATAATAATAATAATAATAATAAATAAAAAGATGCTTTACCTGTGGAGTTAATTCAACTTCAAGCTCACCAGAAAGATACTGTCGTTCAAATTCAGCATTTTCACCGACATAGGATGATATCATCCGTTTGATCTGTAAAAATGATTAAGAGAGTAATAAAGTTGGTGAATGAAATCATTGTTCCCATAAGAAAAGAAAATTAGTAGAATATGGAATGAGAGGAAGAAAGAAGATTGAGATATGGAATGACCCATGAGGAGGAAGGGCGGAAGGCGAATTGACATAGAAAACAGAAAGACCAAGCAAATGGAAGAGAGAAGGACCAGGCAGACAGAAAGGCAGAAGTTAGAATGACCAGGAAAATGAAAGGCAGAATGACCAAGCAAATTTAATTACCTAGCAGACAGAAAAAAAGAAAATGGAACAATCAGAGAGAAGTATAAAAATAAAAGGAATATTGGTTGGTGGCACAAAGAAGGTCCGTCCTGGGTATGACAATAAACTACATCCACTTCCTAGGTAAGATGATAAACTAGATCCAACAGCAAGGCCTCTGTTCAGGAGGTTTTGAGGAACATGGAACCAGCTCTTAATTGCTGATGTTCCCAAGTCCACCCTGACCTGCAGTGGTAGCACCTGTTAGGGTCCCAGTTATGGGTAAATAGTTAACACCCAAACTTGGGTCAAAATACTATGAAAGTGTAAAAATAGGTTTTAATACCAGAAATACGTTATAAAAAAAATTACCAGCAATACATTTTTGGAAAAAAAAAAAAAAAAAAAAAAAAAAAAAAAAATTACCAGCAATAAAATTTGTCGGCATTAAATAACCCAGTAAGGTTGATATGCCATAAAACAAACCAAACAAAGAAGGTAGTGGCAGTGAAAATGGGAAGAGAAGACAAGGAACAGATGAAAGGAAAAGACAAAGGGAAAAAAAAAAAAAAAAAAAAAAAGACTGCAATCTCTCTCATAACTTACTTGTTTCTGTTTTAGAAGCAGGCCAAGACCAAAGTCATCCACTCCTGCATTGTTACTGACCACAGTGAGATCTTTTACATTACTCCTTAACAGTCCACCAATTAAATTTTCTGGTATTCCACACAGCCCAAACCCTAAAAGAAAAGATTCAATTTTTACAAAAATGTAATATCTACTGCAATTTTGATGTACATAAATACACACGTTACTTGCATATCCAAGCATTGTAATTGACATTAATGCAAATCAAACATACACAGTGCATTAACTGCATCTAATTTTTGCATCTCATTTAGCAAGTGAAGAAATGAGAGCTTTAACAGTTAATCTACATTAGAGAGGATTAATTATTTCAAGACCAGATGCAATAAATTGTAGATCGTGAAATCCATAATCTACACCCAGCAAACATATTGCCAACTGACTTTTCCTGTGACAAACATGGGGGGTATTCAATGCATTCTATAAGACATCAACATTTCTCATCAGCCAGGAATTAAACACAATTGCAGGTTTCCGTTTATTACACCAAAATGGATAGTTTTTTTGTTTTTGCTTTTTCTTTACAGTAGCAGCATATGACCAATTTGATTTTTATGGCTTAACCCTTCGTGGGAAATTTCAGTCAAAACAGATTTTGGACTGTAAGAATATTTTTTGTGAATGAATATTGCATCAACAATTTTTTTGAGAATAAAAATGATTTTTGCATATACAAGTCCTGCTATTTAACCCAAAGCTGAAGGGAGGAGATGGATTCATACCTTTCCCAATGGTATTTGCATATAAACCTATATAACAACACTGACTGGGATTTGAACTTGACACTGATTTCTCATTCTGAGGTATCCATTACACTCACATCCTAGCAGTATGTGTTGCAGTGGTGTTTGGACTGACAAACCAAAGCACCTGTCCAAAAATTGTATACAGCTCTGCATTTTTGTCTCAGATCAAAATGTAATATCTGTGCAGTAGGTGAAACACGTTACAAAAACAATATATATGGACAATTCAAACATGTATTTAGATAGTTTGACATTTTTGATGCAATAAGTTGTAAATGTTTTTATAATTTCTACTCAAATATTTTCTTGGCAGTGATTGCTATTACTGGTAAAGTACAATAAACTTCATGTTATGTTGACAATGCAGGGTTCTGGGTGTGACACTACAACTGAGACACCCAGGTAGAAGAGGAAGATGTGATTTTATCTCAATCTCAAGTGTTTTGATTTCATGGTCAAAAAAATGGGTTTTCAAAGTGGCATCCACTGAAAGAACAGAAGAGTAAATAAGTGGGCGAGGGCTACCGAGATTGAAAACAAAACCAAAGAGAGCATATCTGATGGTTGAAATCGTGGAAGCCTTTGGCAAGGAACAGACTCTTTTGTGTTGTGATTTTAAGATAAGCAAAGGGTTGGTAAGGGGAACAGTTGTAAGGAAGAGTTGATATAAAAAATCCGACAGAAGTTGTCCCAAGCGTCACCTACTACCCATCCTGTTGAGAATAAGGTGAGCATTCTCATTTCTCAACATGGTGCTTGTTTTTTTTCATCTCAATTACTTTGTGGACATGCAGTGGGCCTTTCCAAGGTTGCAGTGCTCACTGACATGAACAAAAATTCAGACACAATTGGTGGAACTCATTGGCCGGTTGGTGGAAATCTTGGTGAGGATCTTGTTATGTTTACCGTGGGATGAGTGTAACAAAGTGGCACTCAAACCTTCCGTCCTTAAATGTCCAAATCTTTCTAACATTGATTTAACCAGTCCTACTATATGGATCAGAAACTTGGACATTATCTGTTAGTCTTGGAAGATGATTGGATGGAACATATACAAATCTACTTAGAAAAAATCCAGAACATCATTTGGAAATCCCATGCAATGTTTAACATAATTTACAAAGAACTGGGACTAGTTACTCTTAAGTGAAAACAAAAACAATTATAGTTTGCTGGCTACTGCCACCAAGCAAACAGGGAAATCATCTCATCCCTATTCCTAGGGCATCCTTCTGGAAGTGTCTTCTCACAAAAATTGGCTTTCCCCAAACTTCATAGCTTGGGACTCAGGGTTGGACATTGGGGATAGCAATATAAGACTGAACAGTGTGGAAAGGGATTGTCAATGGTGTTCCGACCAACCATAGAGAGGTCAAAGGATGATGATTACCCTGGGAATTTCACAATAGAATAATTAGCATGCTTCTATTGAAAACCATTACTACTGCTGTAAGTTTGAGCCTCACTGAGTGTCCTACACTAGCAGTCTTGTACTAAGAGAAATCATTCTGCATGAAATTTTGATTCAATATTCTCATTCTGCAGTCTATTTTGCAGAGATATCTTGTATCACTTGATACTTTTTTTTTTTTTTTAATAGGTACCGCCACAAGTTCAGTATATGTAAGGTTTAAAATGAATTTTTAAAAATGAAAAGCCTTCCTGAGTTCTCAATTTAGCTTTAACTGAAAGCTAAAGGATTAAATTTACTATATGTGGTAAGAAAAATACTTTTTCATGCATTTCTTAAAATTTTATAGCTTTCGAAACACATTTTCATCATTATTTACTTAAAAATAGGTATTTTCACTAATTCAGTAAACAAAGTTTAAAATGAATTTTTGAAAATGAAAAAGCTTTCTTGAAGTTTTCATTGAAAGCTTAAAGATTAGAGGTAGCTCCACAAAAATGCTAAAAGAAAAAAAAAATGAATGAAATACCATGGTCAAAACATGCACCAAATGTAATGAAAACAGTTTTATCATTAAAATCTTTTTTATTATTAAGATGATGGAACAAAGTATTTTTTAATATTTAATTACTTTTTTTTTTTTTACCCCTTTTTAAAACATTTGAAATTTTGATTTAAAAAAAAAAAAAAAAAAAAAAAATTTGCTTGCATCAGCAGTTGTACTAAATTTTAGCCTCTTTTTTGTGGTGACAGACATTATTTTGTAAATTCTTGCAAAAAAAAAAATCAAATAATATTCAGATTTTAGACATTTTCAAAGCTTATTTCCAAATAAAGATATTTTTGTATTTATTTTTTTTCTTTCTTTTAAAAAAATCTTGGTAAAAATATATAGATTTTTTTTTTTTTTTTTAAATATGTTACTCCCCACTGTAACCAATTAATTTTATGGAAAAGTAAGAAATTCAAGATTATAATTTTTAGTGACTGCATTAATTAAAAGTAGAATTCTTTGAAGAATTTAAATCAGATTTTTTTTTCCAAAATTGGACTCAGTCTTACTGAAAATCAAAAAATAAAAAACACAATAAAACCAAGACATTATTTAATTAGAGAATTTTTTTAATTGCTTTTATGAATATATATTAAAGACCATACTGTCTGAAGGAAAAAAAAATTTTTGATGGAAAATGAATTTTTACAAGATTTGTTTTCATTTTTTATAATATCAAACTGAATAATTTATAAAGTCTTTAAATCATTTAAAATTCATCTGCAATGGAATAATTTTTAGCAAATGCTGTCATTAAGTAAAACTATATTTGTTAATCATATATTGTAAACCTCATTACAATTTAATGACATCAAATATTCTTAAAAGAATTTTAATTTGTTTTTGTATGTGTGATATACATGCAGAATTTGAAAATTTGTAAGTCCAGACCTGTTGTCCCCCTTGCGAACACCACCCACATGAAATTTATTGTCTGATCCATCATACTTCACTATAAACAGGTTCGGTGGTCTATAGATTGATTAACATATCAGAAAAACAAGACTTTCTGCTAAAGAAATGCTTGTATAAAACATTTTATGCTATAAGTAATATTTGTTTCAAAACAGTTTAATTTAACTTTAAATTTACTAATTTTCCTCAAATAACATTTCAAAAATATTTTATTTTTGCAAGTTTTTTAAAACAGAGAATTAACTTTTGCTTACAAATGTGTCAAAATGGTAAATTTATATTGATTTTACTGAATATATATATTTCTAAATTTTAAATTCTTTAGCTTTCTTTCAATTAAAGCTAAAATGAAAGCTTAAAAAAAAAAAAAAAAAAAGGAATTTTAAAAAATGAATCCTTACATATAATGAATCAGTGGCAGTACCTATAAAAGCTTTTTTTTCTGACCCCAACTATGGTAAGTGTATCCAATGCACAGCAGAAAAGTGTAGTTTGAAAGTTTTAAGATTTCTCATGATAACCAAAGTAAAGCAATATGCCAACTGTAGCTACGTACTCAAGTGATTTATGTAAAGAAATTGTTCTCTCTATTGTTTAAACTTACCAAATTTTTTTAAATAAAAAGGATATCTAACTTAATTTCATAAGCTTTTGTATTCATTTTTCTACTAAATGTTTTATTAATAAATGTACTTTAATCAATAAGTTTCCCAAATGAACTGTAAGGCCTGAAAATAATGAATTTTAATCATTGGAGGAATTGTATTCAAATTAGTAAAAATACTGGTATCGTCCCATCACTACTTGCAACATTTCATCTGTAAGAAAGGGGTTGTGGAGTAGAAAATAATTTGTCAGCCACAAGGATGTGGAGACACATTGGGACTTTGAGACAGGAAAGTGAAGATTGGGAAGCTCCTGCACATGTATAGCAGCAGTACTCCATTTTTGCAGCTGATCTGGCTCCTTTAAAGGTAGAGAATAGCAAGAGGAGTCTGGTAGTACTAGAGGGAATCAATTATTTTTTTTCAACATCATTAGCAATGGATCACTTCCACTTGAGGTTTGGGTTGAGTTTAAGTCCCAGAAAGTTCTCAAGTCACGGGGGGGGGGTCCATGTGGAAACATTTGTTCATTGTTATTGGAATTCTTGGTTCATATAGCCTTTTTGTATTCACCCTCTTCAATTTTGTTCAAACTTGCTCCAATAGCAAAAATTTATACCAAACTATTTGCTGACCTTTGGTAACCTAGATACAAGATAACAAAGTCATGACCTTTTCACCGTTGTGTAGCATGACTTTAGGGTTTTTTTTTAAATTTGTGTATTTAAAGACCTAGTGGATTTCATTTTTTGCCCTTTACTTTTTCACATTTTATTGGGCAATGCTATTGATACAACACGCATTTGGTGTTGCGATCGATTGATTTTTATGGTTTAAAAATCCTTTATGGGTTACTTAAAGCCAAAACACATTTTGGATTGAAAGAATATTTCTTTTTTTTTTCTTTTGAGGGAACATTGCATTAACAATTCTTTGAAGATAACAATATTTAACCCATAACTGGGGCAGTGAAGAGAGAGAGAGATTCATAAATTCCCCAAGGCTATTTGAGTGAAAGTAACTCAACTGGAATTTGAACTCTACTCTAGTTTTTCTCATTCCAAGCTGCTAACCATTGAACCACCCACACAATGATGTAAAGTAACTCCAATCCACTTGCTCATGTTATCGCCATAAACAAGTTGGAGAGGATGGCACTATTTGTGAACAATCAGTATAAATATGTGAAACACTGTTTCTTTCAGTTGATCGAGTTACTGATTTGTTTTCTTGGCTTATCAATCCTTTGCAGGTTATTTAAAGCCAGAAAATATTTTTAGATTTTAAAAATATTTTTGAAACAATTATTTAGCTATATAACTCTTACTAATTAACCCATAGCTGAAGGAGAAGATGTGAATTCATACCTTTCCCAAGGGTATTTGTGCATAAGTGAATATAACTGACCCATCTAGATTTGGAACTTGGCTCTCCAATTAACAATCTCAAGCTGCTAGCCATTATACTATGCATACAGTGAGGTGAAACAATTATTTGGACATTAAAAAAAATGGATTTACAATCATATATCAAAAGAAAAGCATTGTCTAAAGCTCACAATATATTCGTAAAACAATTATAAATGCAAATAAACAGCAAAAATAAATTATTTGTCACATATATATATTTTATATACAAATTATTAAAACAGGTAGTGAAAAAAGTATTTGGACAGTTCTGAAATTATGTTTAAAATTAATGTTTTGAGTATATTTCATGATCGAATGTGTTAGAATTTTATGGAATAGTCTAGAATGTGCATTACATTATATATACATGTCAAATAATTTATTTTTGCTGCTTATTTGCATTTATAATTGTTTTACAAATATATTGTGAGCATTAGACAATACTTTTCTTTCAATATATGATTCTAAATCCATTTTTTTTTAATGTCCAAATACTTGTTTCACCTCACTTTACATCCAAGCTTAAAGCATCTGATATTTCGAAGCAGTCACCCATCCAGGCATTGACCAAGCTTGATGCTGTTTAATTTCGGTGATTGTAATGTGTCCATTAGCCGTATTTCACTTGAAGCTGCTTGCTAAATGATTTCTGTGATAAATATTTGGGTGGAGTTGGTAGATTTGATAATATATCAACCCCTTGTAGAGTTATTTAAGGTCAAAATCTATTTTATCATGTTTGAGTCTAGATGTAAACACTTTGGTTTATATTTGAGTCCACAAGTCTGTAAACATTCACCTGCAAGTTGACTCCTTTCAGTTGTCAGACTCTAAGCCCACCATCTCCCTGCTAGGGATACTAAAGGAAATGACTAATATTGCCATTTATGTGAGGCTAATGACTATTTTATGACAGAGTTCATCACTAATTGCAACATAGAACCTTACTTTTCAGATGCATATACAACCATGGAGTTATACTTAGAATGAACCTAACATATGATGGAGTGGGAATTTCATTTTCCTGATTAATTTCTTGTTGTCTGTTACCTGTATTCTTTGGAGAGATTTGTTAGAAAATTCTGGTGTTTTAATGTTTGTTTGTTTTTTTTTTGTTTTTTTTTTTTCTGTTTTCCCAGTGCAAACAGTAATCTTAGAAACTGCATGCAAAATGAGGAGGACAAATGGATGAACGAATTTTGAGACGTGGGCCAGAAATCAAAGTACCAATCAACAGAAAATCTATATCGAACAAAAAATAATTTCCTCAGCAACCTTTGGCAGGCAACAAGGCTAGCATACAGAATATTCCTGGTGATTTGCCTTCTCTATCTCTTTACAATCTACTTTAAAATAGCTCATATTTCTGGGTATTGGATCCAATTAAAGTAGTCAGTTGTTATAGATAAAAATGACTTATTTATGTTGTACAAAAAAGCAAGCCAGTCAAAGTTGAGAGGACCTGATCTAGAAGTTAGGCAAACCTAAGTAGGTAAAAATTATTTATCGAATCACAGTTGTGTCCTTTACCTGGACACATTTAGATAAATTGCTACACTTTCTATTTATTGTTGCCAGTGTCCTTCCGAAGTACTTTTGGAAGAACCAAACTAAAATTCTTATAAATTTTGTTTGTAAATGAAACTACTCAAATAATTTCTGTTACAGATATAAAATTTCCAATGACACCAAGTTGAATTCCTGAAAATGTACTTATTTTTTTAAAACTATTTTCCTTCTAGTACATACTTAATATCTCACAAGTAAAATACAATGCTTAGATTTTTTATATTCTGTGCAGCAGCAAGACACCTTTCTTTAGAGTTGATATATTGTACCATTTCATAGAAGCAAATGGCACCAATTTAAAATGGCTGCTAGAGCACATGACATCAGTTCAAGAGGAAATAAATAACAGAATATGATTGGCTATTTATATTTGATAAATAGCAGAGTATTGATCTCTCTGGGGAGTGAGAGAGAGAGAGAGAGAGAGAGAGAAAAAAAACATTTCTGGCAGACCATTTCCAGTAAATTTATTTATTTTTTTTTTTTTATTCCATTTTATTTTTTCATTCTTTGAATGAAATACTGAATTGAAGAATGATACTATTGGTCGGTTAAATTCAATGAAAAAGAAATAAAAAATCATTTTCAAAATGTTTAGTTTTACTTTTTATACAATGAACCACTGACGAGTCAATTGTAATATTTTCTTACATAGAAATTTTTAATATTTTTATTAAAAGGACAAAGGATTTAAAATTTTGACAAAAGAGATATTGGAGAAAAAAAAAAAAAAAAAAAAAAAAATTCAAACGACTACTTAAGGGCTTTACAAAACCAAAAATATTCCTTTTGCTTTAGTAGTTTTTTTAGTCATACCATTGTTTAATAAAGAGCCATGTTTATATATTTTCAAAACAATATTTTGACAATTAAATTTAAAACGTCTATGTTACTGTTTCAAGTGGAAGAGCTGATATATAATGCACCACCCTCCCCCTGTAGCTGCCATTACTTTACTTGTCGTTTCATCTTCTATTTGTTTGGCATTACTTGACTAAGATTGAATTAAAAAATATCAAGTAAAGAAACAAAAAACATAACATAGCAAAAGAGACAATTACACATCATGAGGGAAAATTTAATTAAGAATCTTAACTGATATGAAACTGATATTAACTTTGTATCACAGGGAAAAAAAATAAAATAAAGTAGTCTATAAAGAAAGTAATTAGCATACGAGTTAAATGCAGCAACTTATTTTTTATTTATTTATTTTAATATAACTGTTGTTTTCCCATTAAATAGCAGGAAAGAACTTATAGGATACAAATCCTATATTCCAACAAATGACTAAAAAAAACACAAAGTAGATTTGCACACCAGCAAAATTGGATCAAAATGACCAAAAACAGATTTCACAATAAGGTGTGAAGTTAATTTTCTGACCAATGAAAGGAAGCGATTTGCTAAACCAAAAAAAAGATAACGAGCCAGTGTGAAAAAAAAAGTCAACAATAAATACAGAGTTTTCAAGTCAGTCACCAGTCAGTCAGTAAGAGAAGGGCGCAAAAGATCACAGAAGATTGACAGTAAATTTCATCACTGACTCAAACTTACACAAAGAGCCGAAAGTGGAGTAGGAAGGAACAACAACAAATTTACAACTGACTTCAAAACAATTCATAAGTACATTTTCCTTTTATCTTTATTCCTCATTCACACTCTTTTTCAACTTAAATTGCTCGCCCCTTTTTCATTTTACAACTATACAAAAACAAAAGAAACAGACATTACTCTGTTAAAAGACAGCGAACATAGACATTTTTGTCAAAATAATTTTGCTTAAACAAACTAAAGCATTAATCCTTTTTACCCTATTCACAGGATAATAAATATACAATGTTCTATTTTTTATAAACGTTCCTTATCGTGTTGTTTCTTCTTGAAATTTGCGTTGTATTTTGTGGGCAAGGTATCCCGTATTAAATTCTCCTTTAATCCGGGTACGCTGAACCCCACAAACTATGTAGATCAATTAACATGTTTGTATTTACATAACATGAACAAAGATCAATATTCTTAATAGAGAACATTCTCTAGAAAATTAATAAAATATGCAAGTCTCACTACATTCTTCCTTCTGTTACAAATACTTTTTTACCCATGGATCTATTAATAATTCTACAAGAATTAAAAAAAAAAAAATAATCTCCAGCTATGCCAAAATTAAGTAATTTGAAGGGGTGGAGGAAGAAGCAAATTAGAATTTCTAGCAATAGTTACTAACAAAATATTTCTTATATTATACATTAACAATGATTCAAATAAATCAAATGTCACCCAGTCAGACTAAAACACACAAAAAAACATGACAGAAACATACCTCCCACAAGGAGCTTAGCAGCATCTGGGATATCTTTTACAGCATCATCAACAGACTCAAAGAACACTGCATCACACCGGTGACTGGTACTGAAGTGTGTACAAGACTGCAAGGAAAAAGAAAAATAATTAACCAAATTTGACATACCTTGGTTTGGTTAAGAGTATAACAACTTCTTATGGATCATTTAATGCCAAATTTAATTTTCTTGTGAACTTTGGTATTTTTTTTTCCTATTAAAATATATTGCTGGAAATTTTTAAGATAGAAATGTATTTTTATACTTTCATATTGTTTTGACCAAAGTTTGTGGATCCACTGTTTGCCCATAGCTGGGGGCCCTAACAGGGTCTCGTTATGGATCCACTGTTTGCCCATAGCTGGGGGCCCTAACAGGGTCTCGTTATGGATCCACTGTTTGCCCATAGCTGGGGGCCCTAACAGGGTCTCGTTATGGATCCACTGTTTGCCCATAGCTGGGGGCCCTAACAGGGTCTCGTTATGGATCCACTGTTTGCCCATAGCTGGGGGCCCTAACAGGGTCTCGTTATGGATCCACTGTTTGCCCATAGCTGGGGGCCCTCACAGGGTCTCGATATGGAGCCACTGTTTGCCCATAGCTGGGGGCCCTAACAGGGTCTCGTTATGGATCCACTGTTTGCCCATAGCTGGGGGCCCTAACAGGGTCTCGTTACAGGATGTAGTTTATCATAACCAGGACAAAAAATTATTTTAATTTCTTTCCAATTGTATGAAATTGCTAAAAAGCAATGGTAAAGATTCCTCAAAGGATCTTTACAATTTAGGAGAAGACAGTCATAACTTACTTCTCTCATATACAAAGGCATTTGGAAAAGGTTCTAGCCCAAAAGAAAATTCTTGTTTGGTTATGTACCCAGACTAAGAACCTTTTTTTGCAGCCCATCGTGTGTGTGTGTGTGTGTATATATATATATATATATATATATATATATATATATAATCTAAGGCAGTCAGAGAAGACATAAAACTCCCCATTATAACCATGAATACAACCATCTGAGGATCATAGAATCACATGGAACTGGTAAAAGCGGTTAGGCTTGTGCCTCTTTAGCAATTACGACAATATTCTAACTCTAATGTAGGCATTTTTTCTCACTTAGTCATACAGACACACACACATATATATATATATACACACACACATACACAACAGCTGTTTAAAATGCTTATTTTTGTCATATAGGAAAATCCAACATGGCACGTAACAAAATATTCGGTGAAAAATCCCATTCGTCAGTAACATTTTAAACACATCATAGAATGTAAAGTTCTTAAAGCAAATCTGTGCCAAACTGTTTTCCTGAATCTTTGATGACTTGGCTGTATGAAAATGACAACTTCAAGATTAAATAATGGAAACTGACCGTGAAAAACAATTATGCGCAAAAAGTTTTTGATCAATCAGTAAACTTCTGGACCTTTTCAGGTGATGTTATAGGAGCCAGACGGCTATTGTTTGCACATGGAATTATTCACTGGTAATTAATCTTCGATTTGTCTGTGGAAAATGTCACTCAGCGGTTAGCATTAAGAAATTATGGCCAATTTTTTTAAAGAAAAATTACCTTTTTTTTTTTTTTTTTTTTTAATTGAAAAAAATATTTATTTTCACTTCAAAATAATATCATTCAAAGTTCATCTCCTTCTGCTTAATTTGATGCGAACATTGAATAAAAGGAACAGCTAAATGGCCCGGTGATGGGAAATACAAAAGACATGAGTTGAAGAAAAACAATGTCGTCTGCTAAGTGTTGTTGTCATCACTCGGGTGACGGGGTGTTAAAAACAAAACACATTGTTCAAACATAGGTTTGGAAATAAATAAAAATAAAAAATAAATAAAAAATAAAATAAGATAAAATCAAGCCCTACCAATGTTGACACCCCACTTTTTTTTTTTTTTTTTACTCTTATCTGGGAGTAGTGGGTTTTATTACAAGCTGACACCAACTTGTTCTAAACGTTTATTGCTGGCTGGCTGACCTTTGACCCAGATATGTCAAAGTCAATTTGGTTGGGTTTTATGGCATATCAACCACTGTAGGTCATTCAATGCTAATGTAGTATATATATATATTAGTACTATTAAACGTATAGCTGGCAACATTACCTTTTCAAAAACGTTATCAGAGGACTTGCTGATGGACATATTTTATCACCATACCCAGGACGCGAGTATGGTCTGAAAAAAAAAAAACTGGGAGTTCACTATTTGCCCATAGCTGGAACCCTAACAGGTGCTACCACCCCGGGTCAGGATGGACCTGGGAACATCAGCATGAAACAGGGCATGATAGATAAATTGTCGTGTAAATGGCACAAAAATGAAAATAACCATGACATCTCATTTTAACAGATATATTTACCAAACTCACACAAAAACATTGAAATAATAAAGAGTAAATTTATTCAATAAAATCACCATTAGTTTCAACCATGGCCTTCAGACTCTTCTAGATACTCTCCTTATTCTCCTGGTGAATGCTGTTCTAATACTTGTCTTCAGTTTATCTTTGGTGTGTTACAAGGAGTTTTGTTGGTGTCTCACTCACACAAAATAATCAAGAGTCTGGGGTGTTAGGTAGCCAGATGTAAGTGATGATCTGGTCACAGAAATTGTCTGACAGCCATGACGGGTTTCTCCTGCTTGTGTGGCAAGGTACAGAGACCTGTTGCCTATCATAGGGTCTTCCAGAAGACTCTTGATCCAGGGCAGCACTATCTCCTCAAGGCACTTGATTTAGGCCTCTATGTCAAGTGAGGCCCTCACCAACAAATTTGTGATTTCTTTTCTTATCAGAACAAGTTTTTCAAGTTACCGTACCTTCATAATCCCTATTAGACTCATTCAACTCTTTCTTCTGTACTGTCCTCAGATTGACACCCAAACACTGAAATGCTCGTATTAGAGCTTCCTGCATGAATGCCAAACAGTACAACATGGCGTTTACAAATTTCTGATGGAACGAATTGTGTCATAGTGCTCTTTTTCTTATGAACAATGCCCAGTTGACCCTACAATACTGCGCAGTCAAGAAAATCCAAAACAATGTACAAAATTTAAAACATAAAATGTCGACAATCTACCCATCACAAAGGATAAGTATAAAAATAAGTGTGCGTGTATATTTTAAGACATTTTTGTTAAATATTTGTATCTATAAAAAGAATGTTAAAGTAAATGCTCTGTTTATAATAAACAGTATCAAACAACATTTACCAACCTGAATGTCGGAGAAATTTTAACAGAAAATATTCGTCCTCCGACAGGATTCAAACCTGTATCCAAGATGGAACTGTCATTTAGCTTGACATGCCTTTACCGATTTGGCCATGAAGGAGTGTTCAGTTAAATACAGTAAATTCGACCTTGCTAACCGAACGCTCCTTCATGGCCAAATCAGTAAAGGCACGTCAAGCTAAATGACGATTCCAATCCTGTCGGACGACGAATATTTTCTGTGAAAATTTCTCAGACATTCAGGTCGGTAAATGTTTAATACTGTTTATTATAAACAGAGCATTTACTTAAAAAAATTGTCGGACTTCGTCCATTTTATGTGTGTGTGTGTGTGTGTGTGTGTGTGTGTGTGTGTGTGGCACTGTGGTGTAATGAATACTGGCTTGAATTGAGGAATTGGAGAGCCGAGTTCAAATTCCAGTCGAATCCATTACATTCCCTTACATGCTAATGCCCTTGGGAAAAAGTATAAATCCTCTTCTTCCTACAGCTATGGTTAAATAGCAGGACAGACTGGGTTCTATAGCCTTGGATGGCAACTGGTCTAGAAGGACAACTGAATTCTGCAGAGGGGGTCATTTGGAGACCTTGTGGCACACAGTGCACCGGGTCTCTCTGTATTTGGCCCTTCAAAGAGTGTGGTTGGTTCTGCACAAAGCCTTCACCACTATAATCAAATGATTTGGGCAGGTGGTCTGGTTGCCCGTTTCTAGGGACAGAGTTGCTTGACACTCAAAATGTTGAAAACAACAAGAGAGTGTTATATATATATATATATATATATATATATATATATATATATGACATCTTGTATATATCCTGTACAAATAGGCTTAGTTTGAGTGATAAAGAAAAGGGAGGGAGGAATCTGTGTAAATTAACATTTGTTAAAATGGATAAATTAAATTCAAATTATACCAAATATATTTTTATAACAGTCTCATTCTAAGTATCAGGTCAGCTATTTTCCTTAATGCAAATTTATGAGAAATATAGATATTTGACAGTGTAGATTTGTAGTGTTTGTGAAAACAAAGAAAAATTTTTAAATTTGTCTCAATGTTTTCTCAGTTTTTCCCCCCTCTCACAGTAAACCCTTATCTTAGTGGCTTTATTGCCATGCTTGTGGTAAAATGACTAAAAGAAAAAAAAAATTACATCTTACCAATTATATTTTTTAATGCTAATTTTGTTTTGTATTTTATAAGTAAAAGAAAAAGAAATTCTTACAATTCAAAAAAGGTTTTGGCTTTAAATAACCCACAAAAGGTTGATAAATCATAAAATAAGTCATTTTTATAGATATTTACAATAAACAAAATTATTATTGATGTGTTTATCCATCACTACTTACCTATATTTATTATGCTCATTTCCAAGTTAATACGTTCCGATAACGTAATTGAAATGAGAGAAGAATTTATATTTTACTGCAAGAGGTTTTACAGTTCAGCTTTCATATAACCCATTCTTTGTTTCTTTTTAATCATTTCACCCCATGTAAGGCTGGAATGCCACTACTACACGTGGGGGGGGGTTTACAGAGAGTAAAAGCGAGTGAAAAGACTAGGTATGGGGGGGATTGAGGAAAGGATAAAAGACGAATGGGATTCAAGAAGATAGAAGATGGTAATTGACATTGCATTTAAATTTTGAAGATTGTATTTATCAGGGAAACAAGTAAATGAAAGGGAGTTACACAGGCAGGGAGTACGAGAAAAGAAACTGTTGGAGCAGAAGTGGTGGTTGCATTTAACTACTTCAACAGTAAAAAGGTGCGTTCTATATGCCAGAGTTGTAGCACGATTAAATTCTTGTAG